AACATCCTCCTTTTCTTCATCGACTCTCTTTATGATAATAGGTTTTATAGTAAATTTCCCATTTATTAATCACTGTTGAGCCAACAAACCTTCACTTTTGTGAAAATAATAAAAGAAAGACTGATTAGCTTGTTCTCATGGTTTTTTCCTTTAATTGCCATGGTGACATTTGAACTTTTATGGTTCCCTTTGTATGTGTCAACACTGAATAGAGAGATGTGGAACAGGTGCTTGTCCAGTAAGCTAGCTGGCATCATGGAGGCTGGCAAGAGGCAAGTTGATCTTGGTGCGGGAGGATCTGGGAGCAGGCAGCATGAGGGGAACCCCAGCGTGTTAATTTCATTTTCATAGCAGCCACGTTTGAGCAGCCCTTATGCCAGGGCTATATTAGGTGCTCTCTCTTGTTTCATCCCTGGTGTTCACCTCACAGTTGTGCTGGTTAGAACCAGGAAGCCATGGTTGGCCAAAGTCACACAGCTAATTAACTCCAGGCTGGACCTGGAATTCCTGCCTGGCTGACTCCAGTGTCAGAATCGGACTTTTCTTGGAAATCCAACCACTGCCTGGCGCCCCTACCCCAACACCTGTGCCCCTTCACCAGAGGCGGCTCCTCCCCCTTCTCTCTTTCTGTTAATGATGTCACCATTCCTTCCTTTGTGGGTACTTTGTCCACATCCCATGCCCCTGCTGGAGGTCCTCATTGTCGTGCTGGCCTCACTGCCTCTGAGTTGTGTTCAAGGGGGGTGGATGGCTGGGATGGTTCTTTACGGAGGAAGAGAGGGAGAGCAAGCAGGGGCTCCCGGATTCCCCACTGCCCAATTTCTGTTCTTTCTCAGCCACTCATGCCGGTGAAGCTTCTGAGTGAAATGGAGAGAGAGAGAGGGAGAGGTTCTCCCCCTGTGACAATGACAGACTGGCCTCAAACCCTGGGGCAGCCACTCCCTTAGGAGTTGGTTTATATGGACCATTTGGCAGACTCTGTATCCATCAGGGACAGTAAAAAATTCAAAATCATACTGAACATTAAAAAGAGGAAATTTCATGTGGGACACTAGTTGTATAGGTGAGGGAAGAGCTGAGAAGCCAAACAGGTGATGGTGAGGCAACTCCAAAATTAGTGGCAGCAAGAAGCACTGTGTCCTCAGGCTGGAGGAGCTCGGGCAGGAGGCTGGAGAACCCAGGGTCACTGATGGGAGCTGGACCCCATTAGGGGAGAGGGGAGGGGAGAGGGAAGGGAGAGGAGTGAGCCTCCATAGAGAACTCTGCACACCAGCCATTTTAATGAATGCCCACGCCTTAGTGGCTCAGTGCAGGGACGTTTGTCTCTCACTCACTGAGCATTCCACGGAACGCTCCTTGCTTAGCGAGCTTTGCCATGTGTGGGGGTACCTGGTCCAGGTTCTTTCCATCTTTTCATCCCACTCTCCCCTAGGGCCTTTGTGGGAGAGGGAGGAGACGCATACCTGACTTGGAGAACCTGAACTTGGAAGTGACAAACGCTACTCCCCTCCTCTTCTGTGGCAAGAGGTGTGGGGTGGGCCTGGGAAGTCCTGTGGGACACCCACCTCTCAGCAGCCACTCTGCACTGTGGAAGAGGGTGCCACCGCAGACAGTGGCTATCTCTGCCTCACGGGCTCAGATCCTTCATTCTTTTGCTCGCCACATTAAAACTTACTCTGCATCCCTCCTGTCCCCCAACCAATCCTATTTTACTATTATTATTTACAACTATGCCTTCTTCAGGGTTCTTTTGGATCCTAAGGGAAGGGAAAGGAGAGAGGTGGGTTAGAGACAGAGCTGTGTTGGTTCGAAACCTCAGGTGTTCCTAGGGAGAAATCTGAAACTGGCCCCCATATGCAGAGGGCGGGGAGAGATTGAAGAAAGAGGAAGACACTCCAGGTTGGTAGGTGGCAGGTTTCATAAGCAGGGGAACTTACATACGAGGCTCGTCTTGGGAGACCACAAGACAAGTAGATCTGCACACTCACCTGCCAAATCTTAAAAGTTTATATAAATGCCTTAACAGGGTTCAGTCATGTATACCATCCAGATGGTCTCAACAGCACGTTCCTGTCTCAAGGCTGTGTCTTGAAGCAGCTCCTAGTGTGGAGATGGTGGGCAGAACACATATTCCAAGGACAGGGGAGGAGGTGAGGAGCCTCTGATTGCTCCGGTCCAGCACTTGGGTCAATTGGCGGTCATGTCCTCTCAATGACCTCCTCCAATAAGCTGGCTGCTAGGCCACCCTCTCTGCGTGCAGGTTTGTATGTGCACGTGCACATGGGAGGGATGCCTTCATCATTGCGGGGAGCAGGAAGGACACGGGGTGGCCCTTGGGAATAGACCATTTCCAGTTATCAATGATAAGTATGTGAGTTAAGCATGTGAGCCACTGGGGAGGAGACGTTTGTCCTGGCTCTTCTTTAGAACTTTAGTGGCTACTGTCTAATTTCCATGAGAATGATGTTGTGGCAATTTGTAGCTAATGTAATTTTTAGCTAAGACAACGTGAAGAACAAATGTGTTCAGAAGTGTCAGGTTCCAAAGTGCAGACCCCGGGGCACCATAGGCTTAGGCTACAGTGAGCTTGGCTAAATAGCTGAGAGGAGATAAGTGGTGAAATTCACTTAAAAAATAATTTACTGAGGTGAAATTCACATAACAGAAAATGAACCATTCTAAAATGCACATTCAGTACATTCACAATGTTGTGCAACCACCACCTCTACCTAGTTCCAAAAACACTTCCTTCACTCCAGAGGAAAACTCCAGACCCGTTAAACAGTTTCCCTTCCTTCCTCTTCCTCAGCCCCTGGCAACCACCAGTCTGCCTTCTGTCTCTAGGAATTTACCTATTCTGGACATTTCTTATGAATGGCATCATACAATACGTGGCCTTTTGTGTCTGGCTTTTCTTTTAGTATAGGGTCTTCTAGATTCATCCATGTTGTAGCATGTATCAGAATTTCCTTCCTTTTTATGGCTGAATACTATTCCACTGTGTGTATTTACCCCACTTTGTTTATCCCTTCATCTGTTGGTGACACTTAGACTGTTTCCACCTTTAATGATTGTTGTTAGTGCTGCAGTGAACACAGGTGTACGTGCACTTGTTTGAGTCCCTGTTTCGAATTCTTTTGGGTATATACCTACGTGTGGAATTGCAGAGTCATATGGCAATTCTATGTTTAACTAAAATTCACTTTTTTTTTTTTTGGTTTTTTTTTTTTTTTTTTTTGGGGGGGCCCGCCCCGGAGCCAAACTCCCAACGCACTCCCCCCCTTTTTTTTTTTTTTTTTTTGCTGAGGAAGACTGGCCCTGGGCTAACATCCGTGCCCATCTTCCTCTACTTTATATGGGACGCCGCCACAGCGTGGCTTGACAAGCGGTGCATCGGTGCGTGCCCAGGATCCGAACCGGCGAACCCTGGGCCGCCACAGTGGAGCGTGAGCACCTAACTGCCTGCACCACCGGGCCGGCCCCTAAAATTCACTTTTTGAATCTTGGAAAACCGCTGTGGTTAGCAACCTCATCCTCACTGGCACGGTTGTGACGTGAATACTCCACTCAGGGCATTGTTCTGTGAAAGCAATGGAGGGAATCATGTACATGTATGCCAAAACCTGCTGCTATGAAAATAAAAGGGGGAAGACCCTATGGTTAGGGGCTTTTCCTTGTACTAGAGTTTTAAAAAATAATGACAATCCCCTGTGATGTAAAGTGTTGTGAGCATTATCTACAAAGGGGACCAGGGTGGCAGCCCTGAGAAGACAGGATGGGGCTTTGAGGAGGTGAAGGCCAATGGAAGATGCGGCCTGGGCATCAGGCCAACCCGCACGTGTGCACCGGGCCCCATCTGCCAGGGAACGGCCTTCACTCTATGGGACGAATAATAGAACACACTTTTAAAATGATTTTCTTTTAAACAATAGGTTTACAGTATAATTGAGTCAATTCTTCTGCTGAAGCCAGTGTCCCTGTTTCCTGTTGCAAAAGCCATTGATAAGGCCTTCAGAGCTTGTGAAAACTGCTTTATGAAATGGAAGACCACAGAGTCGGGTTGCCTGACATCTCTCTGACCACAGTTGGGGGCAACAGGAACCTGGGAGCCTAGGCCTCCAGGACGGTGGAGCAATCGCTGCCCAACTGAATCCATCACGCCGGTTAAAAAGAATCCAGCAGGGCCCACAGTCACCCACATGTGCTGATTCCTGCCGCCCTCCAGGAGGCGCCGAGAGCCCCCACCGTGGCTGCTCAGGGCGCTTTGCCGCTGGCCTTTCCCTCCAGGAAGCAGTGATACATTACAGATGGGAGGGTGGCTGACCGTTGTCTTACCTTGTCATCCCTGATCTACTCACAGAACCTGGGGACAGGCTGACCACCCTCCCTGCTCTGCCTGCTGCACTCCTCTCTGCTCTCTGGAGCATGATCCCAACCCTTTGGGGGAAACGGGTGAAAGAGGGGTTTTACGGGGATGTGGCAGCACAGCGACCTTGAACTTGAACCACCCTCCCTCCACCCCCCCACCCCTGCCCTGGAGACCAACACTGCTTCCATCTCTTTTCCCTCTGATTCTCTGCCACCCAACCTCTGAAATGGAAAATGTTTTGGTAAATTCGTGCCATAGCTGAGGCTTCAGGAGAGGGCAGGAACAATTCCATCCAATTAACATCAAGGGAAAAGGGGGATCAGGGCTAAATGTGACTGCACGCAACGGTTGTGTGTGTTCTTGGAAATGCGTGTGCCCGGGAAAGGGCCTGGAGGCTGCCTCCTGTAACCCAACCCTCCAGAACACTGGACAGCTGGTGAAAAGGTACGATTTCTCCACAGATGCAGAACAAGAGGGACATTCGATGCCCGCCTTGTTCAGTCACCAGTAATCTGTCTTGCATCACTCACTTTTGTTGGGATTGACTAATACGCACCATGCCTTGGCCCAGACCGGTGGATATAAACCCAGTGCTTCAGGCTGGCTTCCTGACCACAGCAGGAGCACGGGCATGGGGCGGGCTCGGCGCCAGTTCAGAGCCCTGCTCTGGAAGAACTGGCTCTGCAGACTCCGGCACCCGGTGAGTGAGTGCTGCGTGTTCCCAAACGAGAGGAACATGCAGGTGAGGTCTGTGAGGTCAGAAATGGGGGCTGATCTGGCCTGCCCTCCCCTCCCTGCAGGGAATGAGAGAAGGTTGGATTAGTGAAAGTCAGAACCTGCCCTAAGGGCCAAAGCAGCTGAACCATCATGAGCAGCGCGAAATTGAGGCTGCAGCATTTTGTCAAGAAAGGGCTCATTTAGAAAAACTCTAAAAGGTGGAATTTGAACTATAATTGGTGTTTTTGGCATCTGTTGTAAAAACTAGAATGTGAACCCTCTGGTTGAAGGGACAAGGCACGAAATTCATTTAATGTGTAAATAGTATATTACAGGTACCAACCCCAAAGCATGAGGCTGCAGCGTATGTAACCAGAGCTGGCATGACGCGTTGAAGTGTTACTCTTGCTGTCAGATTTTAGCATTAATTCACATCTTTTTGGAACTGTATCCAAATTACATTGCAAGGTTCTCCTGAATAGATTGGAATTGCTCAAACCAAATTTGTGTTAATGCTACGTAAAACCCTGTAAGTGTGTGTTTTAATGAAGTAGAAATCAATTGCTTATTATTATAATTAACTATCCTTTATTTCTAATGCTGCTAGATTAAAATTAACACCTGTAAATGCCATTTTCAGTAGACGTAGATCTACAGTAATGTCTACATCATTTCTGATTTTAAGGTCCACACTTAGCATATGGGGTTTTTCTGCTGAAAAATTCTTCCGTTTGAAGAAATTCAATAATTGGCATTGAATTTCATTTCACCAAATTCTCATACCCAGAATATTCATTCTCTCTTCTTCAAAATAAGATGAATGTTAAAGGAGATGTTTTCTTTCTCATGAGAAGATCTTCAGGATTAGAACAATTTCAGTTAGAAATTTGCAGGAAGGTCAGGAACTAACAAGTGAGACTTCTACTCTATCAATTGTTGGTGTCTGCGTAGGTGTTTTTCAATTTACGAACAGCCTATTTTATTGACACGTAGTTTGTTTTGGGGAACTAATAAGCCTGTTTTGCTATGAAAGAATGCTACAGGTGGAAATTAGTTTCCCAGGCACCATTCTTTCGGCTTCTGTCTATCAGCTCATTTAAACTTCAAAACAGCTAGTGAGGCAGATACCAGGACTGTCTATCTTTCATTATTGGACACTTGAGTTGTTTAAACACTTTCATGATTATTAATGCTGCTAAGATAAACATCCTCATCAGAAATATTTTATTCATTTATTTATTTGATGACCACTTATTTAAATCCTGCAGCCCATCATTCGTTGCCTCATTTTTCTCTTTAGTATTTATCACCTTATAACATATTGCAGATTTACTTATTTGTTAATTTCCTCTGGAGCTTACATTTGGTTGTCAGACCCATGAGAACAGGGAGGTTTTTCTGATTTGTTCACCAATGTATTCCCCAGCACCCAGAACAGTGCCTGGCACGCAATCGATGTTCAATAAATATTTGTTGAATGAGTGACGGAAGGAAGGAATACAATATTTATTGCATCTCTGCTATGTGCTAGAGGCTAGGTAATCCAGACCATTGTGTGTCCTGCCCTCAAAGAGCTGTAGCTTGGGACAGAGAAAGCAATGGGAGAGACAATTACGTATTTAATGAGTCTACTTCTGGTGATATATCCTACAGAAGTCCCTGCACAAGTGGGAAATGATGATTGCGCAGGGTTATTCATTGCAGCACTGCTTATAATAGCACGAGAGGAGAAGCAGCACGTGGCGTTTGGTGCAGAGACGTGGGGGCCAGCCCCTGACTGGGTCCACACTCCAGCTCTGCCGCTAACCTGTTTACTTGTTCAGGCAAATGTCTTAGCTTGGTTTTCCTCCACGTAAAATGAGATTGTTTGTAAGGAGTAAATGAGTTAGTGCTGTAATGTGCTTGCAAAAGTGCCCAGCATGTGAGTGGGACCTGCTTTCTTATTTGTCAGGGTACACAGATGGTAGAAACGGGTGGCCTCTGGCATGGATAGGACACAACCTCATGGAGTGTGAGGAGAAGAGAGAGGGCACGAGGATGACTCGAGGCTTCTGCTCACACAAGTGGGTTAGAATGGAGCCCCGGGATGAAATGTGACTATATTCACATCTCTTCATGCCAGTGCATTGGAAATATTGAGGCCAGGCCCCTCTGGGTGAATGTCTTTACATTGACCTATTTTTCACAGCTTCCTCCTGTTCTCCAAAGATAATCTGCAAATTCTTTGTTTATGCATAGCTGCTTCCTGAGTATGGAACTGGAGTGATGGCATAAACTGTGGGATAACCAATCTGACTGAGATTAAACGGCCTCAAATAAATATTTATTTAGTGAATAAGAATCGGGCACTGTTTGTGAGATGAATATATTATTGAAGGAAACTTGACTGTTTTTTATATTTACTTAAAAAACTTCATTTTATTATAATTTATTATAGTTCTTTTAGAAAACATTTTATTATGGACATTTCAAAAAGAGAGAAATAAAAAACATAGTATAGAATGGATGAATAGCATTCATCATACTTACCTTCATACTTAGCTTTATAGATTGTTGAAATTCTACTGTTCTTGGAAAAATTTGTTTAAATAGAAGAATATTTTTATAACAGTTTTAATACCACTTATTTTTTTCTTCTTGATTTTTATTTATTGCACAAACAGCACCGTAACAATCAGGATAACTTTAAAAATTGTCTGAAGTTCCATTATCCTAATGTGTCTGCTACTTTTATGGTCTTTTCTTGTCATTAGGCATGTGTAATGCAATATTTTTACACAATTAAAATCATAGCTTTTTGCTTCTTTTTTTCACTTAACCTTGAAGCCCAACATTTTAAAAGTTACTGTTTGGTCTTCATATTTAATGGTTTTGTTATGTGATAGTTCATTAGCTGGATGAACTAGATTCTTCCTAGTTCTTACTATAGTGAATAACATCTTTATGTGTGAAGGATGCATCTCCTGCTGCGTTCGGGCAGGTTGAGACGAGTGGACGGTGCCCCCAAGATCATCCACATGGGCTGTTCCTGAGCAACCTCATCAACATTGGCAAATATCCACAGACCATGAGTCATGCTTCTCCACATGAATTTATATACTCATTTCTATATTTCACTATAACTCTAAATCAATCTGATTCATTGATTTTCATGTTAATAATTTAATAACAACAACAAGAAAAAATAATATAAGCCAAGCGTCTGCTGCGTGGATGTCTCCTAGTTCCGCACTCTTTTGGGATTTCCTGTGTTTTGATATTGAAGAGAAAGGCTGACCCATAGCCTGCATACTGTGGATGGCGTAGTTCCTCCAATCCACCCCTCAGATCACATAGCAGAGTCTGTTCTCTGGGTCACAGTTGCCTCCAATCTCCTGCATGTGTTGAAATCTTCCTCTCCGTTCTGCATCTCACCTCTTGTGACTGCCCCTCCCGCCCCCCAGTTGGACAGGGCTCTATTTCCTTACTCCACTAATGAAAGGGAATGCAAGGCTTTTGGGTTTGGTGAACTTTTACTGAAGCCTTGGGCTAGTGGAGGAGGATGGAGCATAGTTTAATACAAGGATATCATTGTCCTCAAAACCTGTAGTTGATTCCCAACTGTGGGTTGCAGGGGGCTGATGGAAATAACAAAACTCTACTGGCCACCATTTTATTAGGAACACACTCCTGCCTCTTGACATCATACCCCAGATCCCTCCTCACACATAAAGCACTGTATTCTCGCTTTCAAGGGACACAGGGGTGACATGCACATTTTCTCTTAGACAGACACAAGACTTATAGTGTCCTCACCAGGGCTTCTCCTTCTGGCCTGGCTCCTAGGAAGCCCTTGAGGCTGTCTTAGCTCCACACTGGTGGGCTCTCCACTCAGCACAAAGCCAAGTTCAAATCCATTCCCATTTCCTTTAGAGAAACCCCAGTTAGCCCACCCTACCCAGGCTGCATCCCATACTTTGTATCTACCTCCTGCCATCTACTTTAGTGCCTGGTCCTTAAGACACCACCTGGGAAACCTCTTCTCTTTAACATGCAAAGAACAAATTCTCAAGCTAAGCTCCAACTACCTCAAACTTCAGAGCTTTTGTGTGTATATGTCTGTGTGTTTTCCTTTTATAAAACAAAACCTCTCACATTTCTTCAAGATTTTTGTCCACCACTGAATTCAGATGCTAAAAGCCCAACTTGATGTTAAAAAATAATTTTCTTTTGGAAATAATTCTCATACAGGCCACAATTTCTGTTTTTTTCTGAAATTGCAAAAAATGATAGATATCAAACCCCAGAAGTAAAATAGCTCTTATTGCTTTTGGAAATTGTTTAGGTCTTAGAGGTTGATTTTTGCTGGTTTTGTATAACTAAAAGTTATCAATTATTTGTTGGCAGCTTTACCATGAAGGTCTGTTAAGGGTGTTAGCAGGAATTGGGAGGTCAAAGGTCAGGAGCCTGATCTCTCTGATAGGCTGGTTGGAAGAAAGGAACCATCGTTCCTGACAAGATGCTACAGTTCTTGTATATTTTTAAAAAATAGCAGAATAGTTTTATATTGGAGAAAACTAGAAAGTTCAGAAGTTCAAACATTAACTATGTTAACAGACTGATGTTGGAAATACTGCTGAAGGGGTTAAGGGGATAAAGAGCTGTAAGTGGTTTTATGAATAAAAAAGATTAAAAAAAGGTCACTGACATGGAATGTTAGTGCTGAAAGGGGTGGCTGAGATTCATTTACCAATGTTTGCAATAGGGGTGCATCAGCGCCCACCCTTAGAGAGTGTATCAGTCAGCTCGGGCTGCCATAACAAATGCCACAGACCGGATGGCTTAAACAACACACGTTTATTCTCTCACAGCTCTGGAGTCTAGAAGTCTGAAATTAAGGTGGCAGCAGGGTCGGTTCCTTCTGAGGCCTCTCTCCTTGGCTGTGAATGGCCATATCCTCCCTTGTCTTCACTTTGCCTTCCCTCTATATTTATCTGTGTCCAAATTTCTCTTTTTTCTTTCTTCTTATGCTTAATTTTACTCAAC